CCACCCCCCCCCAGCGACCACCTCCCCCCCCAGCGACCACCTCCCCCCCCAGCGACCACCTCCCCCCCCCCAGCGACCACCTCCCCCCCCCCCAGCGACCACCTCCCCCCCCCCCCAGCGACCACCTCCCCCCCCCCCCAGCGACCACCTCCCCCCCCAGCGACCACCTGCCCCCCCAGCGACCACCTGCCCCCCCCAGCGACCACCTGCCCCCCCCCCCAGCGACCACCTCCCCCCCCCCCAGCGACCACCCCCCCCCCCATCGACCACCTCCCCCCCCAGCGACCACCTCCCCCCCCAGCGACCACCTGCCCCCCCCCAGCGACCACCTGCCCCCCCCCAGCGACCACCTGCCCCCCCAGCGACCACCTGCCCCCCCCAGCGACCACCTCCCCCCCCCAGCGACCACCTCCCCCCCCAGCGACCACCACCTCCCCCCCCCAGCGACCACCTCCCCCCCCCCAGCGACCACCTCCCCCCCCCCAGCGACCACCTCCCCCCCCCAGCGACCCACCTCCCCCCCCCGCCCCCCAGCGACCACCTCCCCCCCCCAGCGACCACCTCCCCCCCCCCCCAGCGACCACCTCCCCCCCCAGCGACCACCTCCCCCCCCCCCAGCGACCATCTCCCCCCCCAGCGACCACCTCCCCCCCCCCAGCGACCACCTCCCCCCCCCCAGCGACCACCTCCCCCCCCCCCTGCGACCACCTCCCCCCCCAGCGACCACCTCCCCCCCCCCCAGCGACCACCTCCCCCCCCCAGCGACCACCTCCCCCCCCCAGCGACCACCTCCCCCCCCAGCGACCACCTCCCCCCCCCAGCGACCACCTCCCCCCCCCAGCGACCACCTCCCCCCCCAGCGACCACCTCCCCCCCAGCGACCACCTCCTAGTACACACCCACCTTTTCCACCCCCCCCCTAGTACAACACCCACCTTTTCCACCCCCCCCCCCACACACCTAGTACCCCCCCACCTTTTCCACCCCCCCCCTAGTACACACCCACCTTTTCCACCCCCCCTAGTACACACACCACCTTTTCCTCCCCCCTAGTACACCACCCCACCTTTTCCTCCCCCCCCCTAGTACACACCCACCTTTTCCCCCCCCCCCCCCCTTAGTACACACCCACCTTTTCCACCCCCCCCCCTAGTACACACCCACCTTTTCCACCCCCCCTAGTACACACCCACCTTTTCCTCCCCCTAGTACACACCCACCTTTTCCTCCCCCCTAGTACACACCCACCTTTTCCTCCCCCCTAGTACACACCCACCTTTTCCACCCCCCCCCCCCCTAGTACACACCCACCTTTTCCACCCCCCCTAGTACACACCCACCTTTTCCTCCCCCTAGTACACACCCACCTTTTCCTCCCCCCTAGTACACACCCACCTTTTCCACCCCCCCTAGTACACACCCACACCCTCCCCCCTAGTACACACCCACCTTTTCCACCCCCCCTAGTACACACCCACCTTTTCCACCCCCCCCTAGTACACACCCACCTTTTCCACCCCCCCTAGTACACACCCACCTTTTCCTCCACCCCCCCTAGTACACACCCACCTTTTCCACCCCCCCTAGTACACACCCACCTTTTCCACCCCCCCCCTAGTACACACCCACCTTTTCCACCCCCCCTAGTACACACCCACCTTTTCCTCCCCCCTAGTACACACCCACCTTTTCCCCCCCCCCCCCTAGTACACACCCACCTTTTCCACCCCCCCTAGTACACACCCACCTTTTCCACCCCCCCCCCCTAGTACACACCCACCTTTTCCACCCCCCCTAGTACACACCCACCTTTTCCTAGTACACACCCTCCCCCCTAGTACACACCCACCTTTTCCTCCCCCCTAGTACACACCCACCTTTTCCACCCCCCCTAGTACACACCCACCTTTTCCACCCCCCCTAGTACACACCCACCTTTTCCACCCCCCCTAGTACACACCCACCTTTTCCACCCCCCCTAGTACACACCCACCTTTTCCACCCCCCCTAGTACACACCCCCCTTTTCCACCCCCCCTACCTTTTCCACCCCCCCTAGTACACACCCACCTTTTCCACCCCCCCTAGTACACACCCACCTTTTCCACCCCCCCTAGTACACACCCACCTTTTCCACCCCCCCCTAGTACACACCCACCTTTTCCACCCCCCCTAGTACACACCCACCTTTTCCACCCCCCCCCTAGTACACACCCACCTTTTCCACCCCCCCTAGTACACACCCACCTTTTCCACCCCCCCTAGTACACACCCACCTTTTCCACCCCCCCTAGTACACACCCACCTTTTCCACCCCCCTAGTACACACCCACCTTTTCCACCCCCCCTAGTACACACCCACCTTTTCCACCCCCCTAGTACACACCCACCTTTTCCACCCCCCCCTAGTACACACCCACCTTTTCCACCCCCCCTAGTACACACCCACCTTTTCCACCCCCCCCTAGTACACACCCACCTTTTCCACCCCCCCTAGTACACACCCACCTTTTCCACCCCCCCCTAGTACACACCCACCTTTTCCACCCCCCCCCCCCCTAGTACACACCCACCTTTTCCACCCCCCCCCCCCTAGTACACACCCACCTTTTCCACCCCCCCCCTAGTACACACCCACCTTTTCACACCCCCCCTAGTACACACCCACCTTTTCCACCCCCCCTAGTACCACCCACCTTTACACACCCACCTTTTACCACCCCCCCCACCCCCCTAGTACACACCCACCTTTTCCACCCCCCCCCTAGTACACACCCACCTAGTACACACCCACCTTTTCCACCCCCCCTAGTACCCCCCCCTAGTACACACCCACCTTTTCCACCCCCCCCTAGTACACACCCCACCCTTTTCCACCCCCCCCTAGTACACACCCACCCACCCCCCCCTAGTACACACCCACCTTTTCCACCCCCCCCCACCCCCCCCTAGTACACACCCACCTTTTCCACCCCCCCCCTAGTACACACCCACCTTTTCCACCCCCCCCTAGTACACACCCACCTTTTCCACCCCCCCCTAGTACACACCCACCTTTTCCACCCCCCCTAGTACCCCCCACCTTTTCCACCCCCCCTAGTACACACCCACCTTTTCCACCCCCCCCTAGTACACACCCACCTTTTCCACCCCCCCCCCCCCTAGTACACACCCACCTTTTCCACCCCCCTAGTACACACCCACCTTTTCCACCCCCCCTAGTACACACCCACCTTTTCCACCCCCCCCCTAGTACACACCCACCTTTTCCACCCCCCCCTAGTACACACCCACCTTTTCCACCCCCCCCCACTAGTACACACCCACCTTTTCCACCCCCCCTAGTACACACCCACCTTTTCCACCCCCCCCATAGTACACACCCACCTTTTCCACCCCCCCCTAGTACACACCCACCTTTTCCACCCCCCCCTAGTACACACCCACCTTTTCCACCCCCCCCCCTAGTACACACCCCCTTTTCCACCCCCCCCCTAGTACACACCCACCTTTTCCACCCCCCCTAGTACACACCCACCTTTTCCACCCCCCCCCCCTAGTACACACCCACCTTTTCCACCCCCCCCCCTAGTACACACCCACCTTTTCCACCCCCCCCTAGTACACACCCACCTTTTCCACCCCCCCCCTAGTACACACCCACCTTTTCCACCCCCCCTAGTACACACCCACCTTTTCCACCCCCCCCCTAGTACACACCCACCTTTTCCACCCCCCCTAGTACACACCCACCTTTTCCACCCCCCCCCTAGTACACACCCACCTTTTCCACCCCCCCCCTAGTACACACCCACCTCCCCCCTAGTACATACCCACCTTTTCCACCCCCCCCTAGTACACACCCACCTTTCCCCCCCCCCAGTACATACCCACCTTTTCCACCCCCCCTAGTACACACCCACCTTTTCCACCCCTCCCTAGTACACACCCACCTTTTCCACCCCCCCTAGTACACACCCACCTTTTCCACCACCCCTAGTACACACCCACCTTTTCCACCCCCCCCCTAGTACACACCCACCTTTTCCACTCCCACCCTAGTACACACCCACCTTTTCCACCCCCCCCCTAGTACACACCCACCTTTTCCACCCCCCCCTAGTACACACCCACCTTTTCCACCCCCCCCCTAGTACACACCCACCTTTCCCCCCCCCCCAGTACATACCCACCTTTTCCACCCCCCCCTAGTACACACCCACCTTTTCCACCCCTCCCTAGTACACACCCACCTTTTCCACCCCCCCCCCTAGTACACACCCACCTTTTCCACCCCTCCCTAGTACACACCCACCTTTCCCCCCCCCCCAGTACATACCCACCTTTTCCACCCCCCCCTAGTACACACCCACCTTTTCCACCCCTCCCTAGTACACACCCACCTTTTCCACCCCCCCCCCTAGTACACACCCACCTTTCCACCCCTCCCTAGTACACACCCACCTTTTCCACCCCCCCCCTAGTACACACCCACCTTTTCCACTCCCACCCTAGTATGTAGAATTTTTTCCAACTAACGACCGGCATTGAAATGCATTCCCCCCCCCCTGACCTATCCTCTCCCTGACCTATCCCTTCCACTTCGTCCCTGACCTATCTTTCCTCCCTGACCTATCCCCCCCCTGACCTATCCCTTCCACTTCGTCCCTGACCTATCCCCCCCCCTGACCTTTCCTCCCTGGCGCCTGGCGCCACTACAGGTGAAGGAGTTAGAATGAGCGGATGAACATGTAGTGTGGGGGGAGGTGCCCCCCAGGCCTCCCTAGGCCTACGGGAGCTGGGGCACTCCCCTAGCCCTGGGGATATATAGCCTAGGGGGGGCGCAGCACCCCTCCACACACTAACACCCTCCCCCCCCTCCCTCACTGGCCACGCCCGTACAAAGTAACCTCAGATCGACAGGCCCAAAAGCCTTAACACCCCCACATCCCGGCCGCGACATGATACATTTCAACGTGTTTAATTTATCTTGCTTTATAGCTGTAGCTTGAAGAGGCAGCGTGACAGTATGAGTGAGTGTAGTGTAGGGTGCGACCGGTGGAGGGAGCAGGGCCACCACCGCCACGATGGCCCACCGTGGCCCACCTTGAGTAACGCGCCTTTTGGCAGCTTGCAGAAGCAAGTCTCGATCATGAGTCTGAACCTGAGCGCCAAGATCGATGAGATCCAGTGTCATCAACACGCCGACACCAGCGCTGCTCTCCACGCTATCAGGTCAGTCTCTCACTATTTTCTCTGTGGTAGCCCTGTGGCATGCTCTTGTCTGTCTTGGCTCTGTGGCCTCCTCCTTGTCTGTCTTGGCTCTGTGGCCTCCTCTTGTCTGTCTTAGCTCTGTGGCCTCTTCTGTCTGTGCTCTGTGGCCTCTTCTGTCTGTGCTCTGTGGCCTCTTCTGTCTGTGCTCTGTGGCCTCTTCTGTCTGTGCTCTGTGGCCTCTTCTGTCTGTGCTCTGTGGCCTCTTCTGTCTGTGCTCTGTGGCCTCTTCTGTCTGTGCTCTGTGGCCTCTTCTGTCTGTGCTCTGTGGCCTCTTCTGTCTTGGCTCTGTGGTCTCTTCTGTCTGTGCTCTGTGGCCTCTTCTGTCTGTGCTCTGTGGCCTCTTCTGTCTGTGCTCTGTGGCCTCTTCTGTCTGTGCTCTGTGGCCTCTTCTGTCTGTGCTCTGTGGTCTCTTCTGTCTTGGCTCTGTGGCCTCTTCTCTGTCTTAGCTCTATGGCCTCTTGTGTTTGTCTTAGCTCTGTGTCCTCTTCTCTGTCTTAGCTCTGTGTCTTCTTCCCTGTCTTAGCTCTATGGTTTCTTGTGTTTGTCTTAGCTCTGTGTCCTCTTCTCTGTCTTAGCTCTATGGCCTCTTGTGTTTGTCTTAGCTCTGTGTCCTCTTTTCTCTATCCTAGCCTGTCTTTCCTAGCTTACACCTCGTGAATTCTTCTGCCTCACTACATCACCTCACCTGTTCCTGCCTCACTTCAATACTTATCAATAAAACATTGCGCTCTTCCTGTCTAATCTGTCACTGTCCCTTCCGTCGTGTCCCCGTCTGGTGATATAACTGACAATATGAAGATAACCTCACTAAAGGTAACCCCTGTATACTAACCATTGTGTGACTGTCAGATCGCAGCTACAGGAGCTGACTAAGAGCGTTGAGAGCTGCCAGAGCGAGGTGGTGGAGGTGAAGAGAGATATGGTAGCTATCAAGCATGAGATAGACACCCTCCAGGCGGCCAAGGAGGAGATAGAGGAGCTCCGAGATGCTGTCGACCGTCTGGAGGAGCAGACTAGGCGAAGGAAGATTCGCTTGCTTGAGCAGGTACCTATATCTACCTCTCTATTTATACCTGATATGTCTATCTGTCTATGTGGTGTGGTTCTGGGATTAGGGGGAGGCGGGGCCAGGAGCTAGAGTGCCTTGGTGTACTGCGTTGTTCATCACTACTGTCATGAATTGTTATGGTAATTGCTCAACCCGTTCTCGCACTTTCTTTAAGTCAATATTGACTTATTGAATAAGTGCATATGTGACATACTAATTTATTGTGTATATTTTAGTTTACCTTGAAAAGCTTCATAGAAAACACTGACCTCACCTAACCTTCTTAGTATGTTAAGATAAGCATCTTATTGCTTCGTATTTACAATTATTACTTAACCTATACCTATAATAGCTTAAGTAATAATTGTAATTACGAAGCAATAAGATGCTTATCTTAACATACTAAGAAGGTTAGGTAAGGTCGGTGTTTTCTATGAAGCTTTTCAAGGTAAACTAAAATATACACAATAAATTAGTATGTCACATATGCACGTGTTTAATAAGTCAATATTGACTATAAGAAAGTGCGAGAACTGGTTGAATTGCTATTGGTGTGTGTGTGTGTGTGTGTGTGTGTGTGTGTGTGTGTGTGTGTCGGGTTATAGGAGTGTACTCACCTATTTGTACTCACCTATTTGTGCTTGCGGGGGTTGAGCTTTGGCTCTTTGGTCCCACCTCTCAGTGTGTGTGTGTGCGTGTGTGTGAGAGAGAGAATACATGTACAGTTGTATTAATGTTGCTATTCTTGAATGTATTAGACTTTAGTCTTGCGTTGTATTCCACAGTGTTGTATCTTCTGTATCATTGTGAATCTCAAATCAATTCTTTACTCAGTCTTTTATCAACTATTAAATCTATAATTTTTTAATACCATGACGTCATAACTTGACAATTAGGCCTGTAACTTGTTTTGGGATAGGCCTATCATTTTTTATCCTGCAACCCCAGGGTCTATTGCATTCTGTATTTGTGGCTGCATGTTTAATTGTATTATTTTATTTCGTAATAAATTATATCTTTATTTGCTGAATGCTAATTTTTTTGTGTTAATTGAATATTTTTGTTTTAAAGTTCACATATATATTTTGTAAAGTTTATTTGTTATATGGCTATTGGAAGTTTTGTAAGGCTTATCATTAAATAAAATCCTACTTTTTTATTTATTTTGCTTTTTTATATCCATTATGGCTTTTTTGGGGGAAAGTGTGAGTATCATTTTTGTTATAAGTGTTCAATTTGATGTAAAGTTGTTTGAAATTGTTTGGTTTGTGTATTAACAGGGGGAAGGAGGGGGGGGAGGAGCTGGTACCAAAAAAAAACAAAAAAATTATCTACCTTTAATATATAGTTGGTCACTACTCTAATCCACCAATGTTTGCCTCAAGTCCGCCGCTATTTTTAAGCAGTACAACGTTGGTGGGGCCCCTTACTCCAGATGATGGGCACTGTGGCCCCTTACCCAGATGATGGGAGGGCCCCTAGAATCGTGGGGCCCCTGAGCACCTGGGGCCAGATTCACGAAGCAGTTACGCAAGCACTTACGAACCTGGGGGCCAGATTCACGAAGCAGTTACGCAAGCACTTACGAACCTGTCCATCTTTTCTCAATCTTTGGCGGCTTTGTTTACAATTATTAAACAGTTAATGAGCTCCGAAGCACCAGGAGGCTGTTTATAACAATAACAACAGTTGATTGGCAAGTTTTCATGTTTGTAAACTGTTTAATAAATGTAACCAAAGCCGTCAAAGATTGAGGAAAGATGTACACGTTCGTAAGTGCTTGCGTAACTGCTTCGTGATTCAGGCCCCCAGGTTCGTAAGTGCTTGCGTAACTGCTTCGTGAATCTGGCCCCTGGTGTGCCCATGTGTTAAGGCGGCACTGGAACGAGGCATTTGGAGCCAAGATAGTCCGGTTGTTAGTGTTGGCTCACTGCGTTACCAAGCTCTAATTGATGTGTTGTTAATTTAGGATGAATAGCAGATGAGTTTTAAATTCGTCGTTGACGATTGTGCAGTAATTAATAATGTATTGGAAAGTTGCCGACTGTCGTACAGAGATTGGGTTGTAATCCAAGAGTGTCTTACAGAGATTGGGTGGTAATCCAAGAGTCGTACAGAGATTGGGTGGTAATCCAAGAGTGTCGTACAGAGATTGGGTGGTAATCCAAGAGTGTCATACAGAGATTGGGTGGTAATCCAAGAGTGTCATACAGAGATTGGGTTGTAATCCAAGAGTGTCATACAGAGATTGGGTGGTAATCCAAGAGTGTCATACAGAGATTGGGTTGTAATCCAAGAGTGTCATACAGAGATTGGGTGGTAATCCAAGAGTGTCGTACAGAGATTGGGTTGTAATCCAAGAGTGTCGTACAGAGATTGGGTTGTAATCCAAGAGTGTCGTACAGAGATTGGGTGGTAATCCAAGAGTGTCGTACAGAGATTGGGTTGTAATCCAAGAGTGTCGTACAGAGATTGGGTTGTAATCCAAGAGTGTCGTACAGAGATTGGGTGGTAATCCAAGAGTGTCGTACAGAGATTGGGTGGTAATCCAAGTGTCGTACAGAGATTGGGTGGTAATCCAAGAGTGTCGTACAGAGATTGGGTGGTAATCCAAGTGTCGTACAGAGATTGGGTGGTAATCCAAGAGTGTCGTACAGAGATTGGGTGGTAATCCAAGAGTGTCGTACAGAGATTGGGTGGTAATCCAAGAGTGTCGTACAGAGATTGGGTTGTAATCCAAGAGTGTCGTACAGAGATTGGGTTGTAATCCAAGAGTGTCGTACAGAGATTGGGTGGTAATCCAAGAGTGTCGTACAGAGATTGGGTTATAATCCAAGAGTGTCATACAGAGATTGGGTTGTAATCCAAGAGTGTCGTACAGAGATTGGGTTGTAATCCAAGAGTGTCGTACAGAGATTGGGTGGTAATCCAAGAGTGTCGTACAGAGATTGGGTTGTAATCCAAGAGTGTCGTACAGAGATTGGGTTGTAATCCAAGAGTGTCGTACAGAGATTGGGTTGTAATCCAAGAGTGTCGTACAGAGATTGGGTTGTAATCCAAGAGTGTCGTACAGAGATTGGGTGGTAATCCAAGAGTGTCGTACAGAGATTGGGTTGTAATCCAAGAGTGTCGTACAGAGATTGGGTGGTAATCCAAGAGTGTCATACAGAGATTGGGTGGTAATCCAAGAGTGTCATACAGAGATTGGGTTGTAATCCAAGAGTGTCGTACAGAGATTGGGTGGTAATCCAAGAGTGTCATACAGAGATTGGGTTGTAATCCAAGAGTGTCGTACAGAGATTGGGTTATAATCCAAGAGTGTCATACAGAGATTGGGTGGTAATCCAAGAGTGTCATACAGAGATTGGGTTGTAATCCAAGAGTGTCGTACAGAGATTGGGTGGTAATCCAAGAGTGTCATACAGAGATTGGGTTGTAATCCAAGAGTGTCGTACAGAGATTGGGTTGTAATCCAAGAATGTCATACAGAGATTGGGTTATAATCCAAGAGTGTCGTACAGAGATTGGGTGGTAATCCAAGTGTCATACAGAGATTGGGTTATAATCCAAGTGTGTCATACAGAGATTGGGTTGTAATCCAAGAGTGTCGTACAGAGATTGGGTTGTAATCCAAGAGTGTCATACAGAGATTGGGTTATAATCCAAGAGTGTCGTACAGAGATTGGGTGGTAATCCAAGTGTCGTACAGAGATTGGGTGGTAATCCAAGTGTCGTACAGAGATTGGGTTATAATCCAAGAGTGTCATACAGAGATTGGGTGGTAATCCAAGAGTGTCGTACAGAGATTGGGTGGTAATCCAAGAGTGTCGTACAGAGATTGGGTTATAATCCAAGAGTGTCATACAGAGATTGGGTGGTAATCCAAGAGTGTCGTACAGAGATTGTGTTGTAATCCAAGAGTGTCATACAGAGATTGGGTTGTAGAGACACGGTGAAGACGGAGGCCGTGTACTAGGGCGAAGCTAACCATGGCACTCTGGTGGCACTGACCCGTGCTATTAACCCAAATGTGGTCAACTCGGATGTGAAACTGTTGAATGAACACTTCATCCAAGTGCTTCATTCAGTCATTCAAGCTCATTTTCATTGGGGACTTCAAATGAAAGAGGAATGATCACTTTCCTAATATTAGTACTTAAGACTTGTATCTTCATCAGTGTAATCACATCTGGGAGTTTATATTGTAGTTAAATGTTGATATAAAAACCTTGCTACAATGTACATTTTCACCTTATGTGATATGTTGGATGAAGGACCTGCCCGGAACGCTGTGTGTATCAGTGGCTCTATAAGAATATGTAAGTTACCAGTCTTGTATAATCTCAATACCCAATTATACCTTATTGTGAATACATTATTATATCATAATTTACACTGTAGCATATTTCAAAGCTTCGTGTGGAAGTACATGTCAGCTGTACGTATTCCTTCGTCAACTACAGTCTTGGGGAAGTTAAGATGTTATTGCTGTCTTCGTCTTGGTGTTTGAAGTCTGGCGTGATTCTTGACACAACTTGTCTACAAGCAAAAAGAAATACTTTTACAATAGTGTCCAGATCTCTGATGTTTGGACTCTGATCCCTTCTAGGTCAGCTGTGTGTGTGTGTGTGTGTGTACTCACCTAGTTGTGCTTGCGGGGGTTGAGCTCTGGCTCTTTGGTCCCGCCCCTCAACCGTCAATCAACAGGTGTAGAGGTTCCTGAGCCTATTGGGCTCTATCATATCTACACTTGAAACTGTAACGAGTGAAACTGTGTGTGTTCACCTAGTTGTTGTGGTGGTTGTGGTGGTTATTGGTGGTTGACGGGGGTTGTTGATCCGTCAAACTCTAGCTTCATGCTTGTCTTGAACCTCTGCTACATTCCCTTGTCTTATATTCAGCTACTGGGACCCCAAAGTTCCAAGTAGCACGGGCTATGGTGAGCCCCTGGTACTCTCCGACTAAGAGGTGGTGGTATAGGAATCGACTTGACCAGA